AAAAAGGATAGGGGCTAGCTTTATCCCTTGGGGGATACCCAGCCATGAAGATAGACGGAGGCAGATAAGGCCCCTTCGATTCTAAAAATCTGAGATCTGCTGGTAAGGAAAGCATAGATCCATTTGACTAATTAAGACATTGCTCACACCCAGATGTTTAAGCTCAAGTTGCAACTTACTATGATCAACAGGATAAAATCCTTTACTAAAGTCTGCAAATAGATATTCCAATACAATTTCCAGAACAATCAAGGAACATCAGTATTAAATGCACAAAATAGACTAATGCATGGGTTGTTGATTTTCCACCAATACAAAATTGTTTACAGTCAAGCCTATTCCTAACCTGCTTAGGTAATGAGTCTCTTGTGAAACCTTCCATGACTTTAGATAGACGACTACAGGTTTTGTACAGCGGAAACATTTTTTCGAATATCGCCCGCACAAAACATCGCACAGTCCTGAATCTTGGGGAGAGTGTTCGAATATTCATTTTGTTTTATCCCTTTGATGCTTGCCTTTATTTGTTTTGAAAATTGTTTTGATGATGGTGGGACAGTGAAACCTGGGGATGGGTACACAGCGCTTATATCCATCTTGAGAAACAGTAAAATGCGCGAGACAAACCTACCTATTTCAAAAGGATTAAACAGACTGAAAAATGACGGATTATTTCCATGGACAGGTCCTGGTTAGAACGATCAGCTAAGTTGCAATCGTCAAGCGATGAATGAACTGTAAATAACAGTTGAAAGACGGACACATAGACCATTGATTTTGTTTTGAGGCTTTACTTGAGCAATTAGTGGAAGTCGAACCACGGTTGATCTCAATGTACATGTACTCCGCTGTGCTACTACAGATTCAGAATAGGGGCGCTTATCTGTGTGGGGGTGCTTATTGGAACGCGAATGCCTATTCAATAGGAGCGCTTACTAGAATAGGGGCCCTCATTGAAAAAGTCTAATGTGACGGGTCGCTTGTTAGAGAGGGGGCGCTTATTTCAAGGAGGGCACTACATCGAATCCTCACGGTAGTTATGCATGTGGTGTAGCTGTTTGAAAATTGACTGCGTGCTTATTTTTTGTTTTTCTGTTTGATTGATATATTGTTTTATGCTATGAAAGGAACTTCCGGCTTACAGTTTAATTGTCGACGTCCTCACAATGTAAGGATTATTATGACGTAACTTATCCTTATCTTGTACCGTGTACAATAAGTTTAACTTGGTATGGGCATTTTACAAAATTGATTGTATTTTCCGCTCTCGGTACAAAACATAAGAATTTTTGGCAAAAATAACTTGCATAGGTACCGTGCCTCCTGCAGTCGCCTCCACAACCCTAATTTGGTCTCGTCACGCAACGCCCTCTCTCCCAAGTTGCGTGACGAGATTAAACAACGATTGCTCATAGGCTACGGCGATCCCTACTGCTGATCCTCTCCATCAGAGACAGTCTTCATTATTCAGTTACAGCTAATTGCCCCAAAAAGTATTTTTAATGTAATTTTGCAACGGAAAGCAAGCCAAAAACTCTATTTCATCTCTAACAATCACTGAACAAAGATATTTTTTGATCTCTCTTCTTCAAACAAGTGAAAATAGATTGAATGAAGAGACAACTATCATGTTTCAAGGCGTAACAACGTAGGCTCCTTATTTGGTTGTTACCTATCTGGCCTTCTCCCTGAGCGTGTGAAATACATGGTAAAATGCGGGTTGTTTGACAGGATTTGACACGTGATAAGGTGAAGTCTAAGGTAGCAAAAAGCGAAATTTATTTGTAAAAAATCGTCTAAGCACGTGAGAATTGCGTAGAAAATTGTCCAACAGAAGCATAACGTTCCTTGCGAATTTTTTTTCTTTATTGAGGCAGGATTTTCATGAAATTTACGTTGTTAATGGCATTTCATCTGAGAAAGTCTAGTCCATAGTGGAGAGTAAAAAGTAAACTCTAGATTGTAGCGAGAAAGTATCGTTTATTTTAAACATAAATAATGAATCAATGAAGAACTTTTAGAAGCAAAGAAACGGATACTTTAACATGGCTTGCGGTTTTTCCTACAACCTTTTTGTAAACAGCTGTACACCTTTTCTTTCCCCGTGGAATAGGTTATGCACGATGCAACAGCGTATGTTACTCATCAAAGGAACAATCCCTTTTTTTTTGTTTTTGTTTGCCAGCAGCTATTACCTTTCCATTACTAAGAAAAACATTTTTGGGACATTGGGTTTACGAAACTTGTGATAATTGGGGATTAAAAAATTGAAAATGTGCAGTTCAAAATTTTTGCAAGTATAACAAAAAGTGATGGGGTGCATAGTTAATCACAAAATAGATTCTAAAAAGGTGAGAATTTTAAGAGGCCAGCGGAACCTACCCAACAGGAATTCTTTAAATTCTTTCTCCCCTCCTACTCCCCCCTCCCCCCACTTTTCCAGGTGACGGAAGGCAATGTGCAGTAGAAGAAAACAATTTGTAACACATGAAAAAGTGACATAATTAGCATTGATATCTCGATTGGAGTGCACTTTTATTATTTTAGCAATAGTGATTTTCTAAAAGCGATGATAAACTAGTAGTTAGCTAAATGTTTAATTGCTTCCTTCGTCCTACTCGTCAGGGATAGCTTATAGACGCGTCACAATCACAGGCGGTCCGAATTTTTTCCACCCCATTCAAAAGTAACAGGGGCAGTAGTCAGCCAAACACGCACAAAAAGTTAGGTAAGGAATGAAACAGCAAAACACCTTTGCAACGTTTT